AATCTATTGCATAACTTGCACTTATTGCAAAAAGTTATACATCGGCGAAACAGGAAGACGACTAGGTGACCGATTCCGAGAACACCTTCGCGACGTAGAAAGGAATGACAAGGACGCATCAAAACCAGTCGCTAGACTACCTAATCATTCTAAACAACATATGGCAATCTGCGGTGTTTCCTTACATTTAGGAAAACGGAAAGCCGCAAAACTCTTGAACAAAAGTTCATCTTTCAAATCGGCACTCTTAATCCCACAGGTATCAAGAACGCTTTTCGTTCCACTAATTTATTCGTGTTTTTCTCGTCGCCATGTTCCCAGCAATGGCGTAGCTCCACTTTCTACATTTAAACCCCACATAAAAGCCACAATTCCTCCATTCGCTCTGACGAAGGGCTAACGCTCGAAACGTCAGCTTTTTTATTCGTTACGGTGGCCAATTTATAATTTCAACTTAGTTGATATAACTAAATTAACAGGTAGAGGTTGTTTTCTTGATCTAACACCAAATTCTTGTACTTGTTTACAAGGAAATGTGTAGCAAGTAGAGGGAAAAATTAATAATCCAATCTTGGGAATGAAAAGGTTAATACTCGGCAACAAAACAGGCGGAGTAAAATCAGCGATCATATGAGGAAATAACAAAAAAATCAATTTATTATAATTACCTTAAACATCGTTCCATTCTAAGCGATGAAACCCGACGTTTTCACAGTTCTTCACCTACAAAGCTATTTTATCCAATCTTTTTCATATGATCATCATCCCGCAAACATTTAACTAGAACAGCGAGTATTCTCATTGTCTATTGAGCCTACTTGTGGCTTTACTTTCCAAACAATTACTCAAATATACCATACAGAAAAAAAACATCCTTACATTGGCATAACTTTACTGGATAATATCTAATGCGCTTCACTGGCTGATTGATATGCATGCAAAAGAAGTCACTCTTCACAGTTTTGATGGTTTGGCTCATTTGATTGACTTAAAAGATATCTAAATTTACGAGAAAACTACATTCTCCACAAATCAGTTAAGTTAGGGTGATATACGAGTCAAATGAAAAGAGGTTTTTATGCTAACAACCGAGTCTTAAATAGTTAACAACTATTCACCAAAGTGGAAATAGTTAGTGGTGGATATTTACCTCGCCGCTTCGCGGCTCGGTAAATATCCACCACTAACCACCGACACGGAGGTGAATAGTTGTTTTAGTAGATACTGAAACAGTGAGATAATATACACCACCGTCATTAATTTGAGTGATTTCTTCGCTTGTCACGGATGCAAACCGGGTCGCCATTTTTTTCCGAGTTGCTCGGAGCCGGTAAATAGCAAAGGATATTCGGAGTTTGACAAGCCAATCAGAGCGCGCCTTCAACGCTATCAGCTGTTTTAGTATATACTAATTAACAATTATTCCAAGAGCGCGCGTTGGATATGAGATGATAGATAGCCAACGAGGCGCGTAGCGCCGAGTTGGCTATAATCATCTCATATCCAACAAGCGCGAGTGGAATAATTGTTTTATTAAAAACGTTGAATTAAATTATTAAATTTTATTAAATTATTAGCTCCCTTTTAATCTTAAGCTGAAACGTACGCTTGCCATATTTGTAGATTATGGTATATTGGCTGATAGACCATAATGGCTAAGCCAATAAAAAGTCTTGAATTGCATTATCCAATGATCTGGTTTTTAATAATTCATGTTATTGAAAAGAAAAATAAGTTCTCCCAGAGATAATCAAGATAACTTTCTAACTTCGTATATGAATTGATACTTTTCTCGCCAGCCTCTCCTGGCTTAGAATTTTACTTGCAATGATTGCTGTTAGCTTTGGCAGGTTTTTCGATGCTACGAAAAAATTTGCGCGTTTCATTTCACTTCAAAATATTCTAGATAATATTTCTATTAAGTAAACCAGAAAGTGAATTTGATTCCTGATTTCTATCTGATTGTGAAGATTAAATAGTGTTTTCAACTAGGTTTTTGCTTACCATCTCAATCGTGACCTATAATTTAGCTTAATGTCCCGAATAATATATCAAATAAACCAAAACACTGGATTAATACGAGTTTAATCAAGATCTAAACCGTTAACCGATTGTTTGGCAGCCTCCGCAAGGACTGCTAGGGCTACTTCTTAAACTTTATTCAAAGATTTGCGAAGTATAGAAAACGTGCTAGCGAAGGACAATGCGCCAGCTATAGCCCACCCTACGAACGGAATAGAACGAGAACTTTCTGCCACAGCTATTTCTGTGGCCGCCATACAAACAAATGAGGCAATTCCGGCGGCAGTGGCAAAATTGAAGTATAGAGGCAACCTCTTGTTGAATAACCGCATTGAGCATCTTGAATATTTCCGACCCTTGTTTAGGGATACCAAGCTGCAACATGTAATGATTAACTTCGTTCAATACAAGTACGGTATCAAAACTGAAAGATAACCCGGGAGTTGGAGCAAGTGCGACCGCAGCGGATGTTCTTGCAAGCGTGCGCCCTCCGAGAACCTCAACTTTTCTCTTCAGAATTTCCTTTGATAAGCTGGTTAGGGTATTGAGAGAAAAGGTAAAGGCCTTCTGGCTAATATCTTGACAATTCATCGAGAATTGCTTGCATAAGTCGAGCGAAATCCCACTTTTCTGGATGATGGTTGCTTATCGGGAAATATCTTCTTTACCGCTGATAGGGTTGCCAGCTTCGTCCACATGGTTCTCCAAGTAATCGATCCGGATGTCGCGCATGCGCAGCATGTTAGCCTCATTCAAAGATATCTTTCGTCTCTCAGCTCGAACGTTCTCATCGATTTTTGTTCAAATGAAAAAAAAAAAAAAGAAAGGATTTCCCCCATTTCTTGATCTCTTGGGCCAATATGATGTCGTTCTTTGTAAATCGGGTGCTTGCAAAAATTAGGAATGTATGATGCTTGTTGAGCTGTACTTTGTCGCGGTACGTTTCCAGGTCAGGAAAGTGTTGTGTTCTAATCCCTGGCAAACCCCACATCTTTATGTTTGGATTTTTTGGGTGATCGAAGGATTCGGGCTCTAAAGTAATCTCAGCGACGCCAACTTTGGCAGCACTATCATCATCGTCGGCAAGCCTAGGAAAGGAACAGGGGTTATGTTTTTTTTTTTTGTTTTTTTTTTGCTTTTGTGTGTGTGTGTGTGTGTGTGTGTGTGTGTGTGTGTGTGTGTGTGTGTGTGTGTGTGTGTGTGTGTGTGTGTGTGTGTGTGTGTGTGAATTTAAGCTTTCAGCTTCTTTTTTTAGTTTTCTTCTCTTTTGGGGAAATTTTGGTTTCAGAAAGCAAGTTAAATTTAAGGAAAAAGAAATCATATTTAAAGCTAGTTTCTCGACAGTTGGAAGTTATCTTAGTCAAAACTTATGAAGCCATCGTTTATGAAATTACCCAACAACGACTGAGACAGCATGCATAATTCAGGTGCGATTGTGCAGAAATTTTTCCAAGCAAGTTCATCCCAGTAGGATATCTCTCCAGATGAAAGTGTTCTTTTCCTGACCCCATTCAAACAGGAAATTTGAAATTTCTCCCCAGAAGGTCTTCTAATAGAGTTTGATTAATTGATTTTGATATGAAAACGAAGGTTAGGGTGACTTGTGATCACGCTGGTATTTATGGATAGTAACTTACTCGATACACCTTTAGTAGTTATTTTGAGCAAAACGATATTCGACACACTACATTGGTTCAGTCGTAGCGAGCTTGACAGAGTCTTCAATGTTTTCCCCCAACTCTTTTTATGGATTGAAAGTGAAATAAAACGTTATTCGATGGCAAATTCGGCTAAACTACTCCTAGCGCAACACATATTTAAAGTTCTTTTGGTCGAAACTTCCCAACTTTAAAAACTGAGGTATTACAACTTTAGGACTGGACGTCAACAAAGAAAACAAAGTGGAAATATCTACGTCCAATGTTAACCTGAATTTGACGACCTCAATTAATCGCCATGCATAGGCTACTGAGAAAAGTTGGCGTTGCGAGCTGCAGCCCTTTATTGCTATTAGTATACTTACTCTCTTATCGCGTTGTTAAAACTCAATTTGCTAGATTCTGAGTCGCCAGTTATTCCAGTGTGAACCTCTACTTTCTTCCAACCATCTAACCTTTTCCTGAAGGACTCTGAAATCAGGATCTTTCGCACCACACTGATCAATACAGTTTTGAACCTTATATGCGTTTTCTGTCTCAAAATACTTCACTGGACTCGAAACGTCTGGATCACTTGAATGAAGAAAATTTGGATCCAAACGATGAGGTAGTGGTCGGACGAAACACCAATAAATAAACTGATATCGAGATCCTTCGGAACGGTCTCCAAAACACTCTGCTACTGAAGTATAACTTTAGACAATGACAATGAGATAGTTTCGCAGATGAGTCCGTATATCGGTTTCAGACACTCTTTTCACCGAATTAGGTCAAAACATATGTTGCATTGTAATTTTGACATCCGCAAGCTTCCTTTCTATTTATAGGAGTTTTACAAAGAATGTCTTGATGCATGATCGGATCTAAATACAACGAAAGTTAAATCTTACGAAGACATAGTGAATCAGGTAACAAGTCGACCAAGACAACCTCGAAATTATTGAAATAAGTGATTTAATTTCTGATTATAGCAGATTTCTTTAAAGTGATAAAACTTGTACCAGCTGTAATATTTCAATTTAATAAGCATTGTTAATTCTAAAATACCTTAGCTTTTCGGTAGGGTAGAAAGAAATCTAATCTCTACCGTTTAGTATCTCTATTGATACTAAACTGTAGAGATTAGTTCCTACTTTGTGGAACGCCTTGCCTGATGATATTAAGCAAGTGGACCTTTTAACAACATTTAAGTCTTAACTTGAAACCCATTTATTTAGGCAGTTGTAGTTTTTACTTTTATTGGTTTTTCACTAGTTGTTTAATTAATTTTAATTCTTAGTTGATTATATTTTTCTATCACTATCATGGTAACGTGCCGCTGGATCTGTGAGAAGCGTTGCGCTATACAAGCTATGTATTATTATTATTATTTTCGCTAATGAAAAATTGTTTGAATTTAAAATGATTGACTCGGCTATCTGCGGTCGAATACCTTGACGTAACAAAACAACTTTGGCACTTTATTTCGTCTTAGTTAAGTGAGCAAATAAAGTAATTCTACCTATCTACAAGTTCTTTTTGGAGGTTTTGATACCGCTGAAGACTACATTATCACCATATATTTTTATAGATATTTCATTCATACAAACGTCTTTAAAGGTATTCATGGCCAAGATACAAGAAACCTGCCAAATAGAGCGGAAAATTACATCGGGGAGGAATATGCTCTTAACTCGTTACAAAAAATAGTCCAGGTCCTTTTTTTTTCCTCCCTTCTCAAGCGCCTACATAGTTCTTGTAAAATACAACGGTAAGTATTGTAGAGTAGTACTGATAATACTTTTTAGTGTTCATTGATGTGTTGTAAATATGTTATATGTTGTAATGTAGTAATTATGTGCTAGTACTAGTAATTTGGTAGGGAAGTTTTGGTGAATTGTATCCTTCTAGCGAAAGTGACGTATAGCATAACTATAAAAGTCTTGTAGAGAAATTTTGTCATGAAAAATAGATAAAATAGAAAAAAGAAAACTGCGAATTACGTTCATAGAATAGTGCTACTCGTCAAATAAATGCAGGGGATACCAAATTCTTATTACCTTAAAAATAACAGAATTGCTGATCATCAACATGGCTATGAATGCCTGTAAGCAAGAATCCACACTGAGTCCCTAACTTTCTAAAACTATTATGAGATATTTCACTGTACCTAAGAATTTGCCATCCACATGTTATTCATGCCAGAAATCTACCAAGATTCTCGAATAATTTATGTAGCGTTCGTCACACATTCTACTCTTCTGCAGCCGTTAGGAATGTCACACAAATCTCCCACGAATAGAAGGGCGTTGCGTGACACCCCATAAGGCGTCTGAGAAGATTAGTCACATATCTTATAAACATTAAATATTAAGTGTTAATCTCAATCAATCCCTCACGACAGTTACTTCGAGTCCCTCTTGGTCATCGTCAGATTGAGGACTAGTTTCTTCCTTCTTTCTTACAAATGTGGCGTGCGGTAACGTCGGCTTAAAACAAAAACAAATACTTTGCATTGCCAGAAACAAAGACTTCCTAAACTTTTGAAAACGCCAAGCAAACAGGAACGGATCTACAGCAAACTTGCACAGTAAGAAAAGTTGAGCGATTCTCACTGCTAAAGCTGCACTCCTTGTGAAACAACAATTCACCCAGTACAGAGACACACAAAATGGCCAGACAAGAATTATTAGTACAAAGGTCAAAATAAATGTTCCGACGGCGAATTCCTTCTCTGCTTTTCTTCGCTGCTCCTCGGATTCTGTGGGTTGTAATAAGCGATCTTGTCCTACCATTCTTCCGACAAAGTTAACTTGGAAACGACTCCGAAACTCCAAATAAATAGCAATGTACAAGATTACAAGTAAAACAGTCGGTATCATTATATGAAGTACAAGGTTCGTCAAGACATATGCAAATCTATCGACGGTAGACATCAGTGGAATCAAGCCAAAAATTATTGAATAAAGCCAGATGGAAAACACGCCAACAAAAGCCGATACAGGACTGACGATTTTCTGATAACCGATGGGAAACTTGATCAGTAAGTATTGGACTATCGCCAGTGCCAGTGTAACTAGGAATGAAGTAGTTGTGGTCATGAAAGCAAAACACTGCGCAACACTGAAGTACTGAAGAAATTCTGTCGAGTGCGAGAGGAAATGTCGGAAATAAAATGCCACAAAAGCTGGCTCCACGATCAGGCCACTTACAAAATTGGCGCTCGTCAAACCAGAGATGAAAATTGCAGAAGGCGTTCGAAGACATTTTAGTGGATCTTTGTAGAAAGTCCACAAAAAAGCCCCATTGCTGAAAATTGTTACAACAGCTAAGAATAGCATGACAACTATGGAGGCCACGTCTATTTCGTAGTAAATGTCGAAGTCCTCCGGTGTATAAGTTGCATTCGATGAACTTGACATGTCTTCTTTTGGCTGTTAAAACGCGAGAGGGTCTTAGAATGGAAAGTAAGTAAGAAATAAAGCTTGTACGTGGTTGACTTCTCTACTGACTCAGCTTCGTTCCCGGCAGACTCGGAAATGAGACTACTCATTAAAAATAGTAGTAATATTCATATAAGAAATATGAGATCAATTATTTTTGCCCCTTTGCCCCCAATGTCTATTTACTTCAAGCAAGCTCGATTTTGAAATTCGTCCGCAAATTTCTGATCTGGTGAATTGATTGTTCTGTAAATAAACAAAAGAATAAAAAAAAATTATTTTTTGAGAGAAAAAAAACTTATTTATCATAAATATTTTAAAACACACCGTAATGGTAATCTCCTGCGGTGAAACTTGAGGCGAATATGATAAAAAAAAAAAAAACCAAGATATTGTAAACTCAAACACTTGAGATGCGGTTTACGGGGTTCGAAAGGTCTGTCTTCTATTACGCGAGTTTTAGGGAGCGATCACACAACGGAAATCTGAAGGCAAGGCTGCAAATATCATCTTTGTTTATTTGTTTTTTGTCCCGTTGTTTGTCTACCCTTTATCTGATGTCTACACAGAAAGATTGCTAACGAATTTGGAATGATAGGGAACATCTTGTAAACGGTGCCCTCACTTCTTGATAGAAGACGTCATTTTCATTAAGATTATGTATGAGATATGCCTTTGGTGCCGAAAGTGAAGAAACATGAAATATATTTTTCATCTACAATTTTTTTTGTTATTATATTTTAGTGGCACAACCACATTCTAAACGTGTGCGTGACTTTAGCCCAGCTACAGGGGCCCTTTTCTCGAAAGTCCCGGTAACTTAACGGACCCGTAAAGCGGTTCTGTTTTCATTCAGGATGGGAATTTCAAAAGTTTTGAAAACAAAGAAATTAAACCATCAACTAAAGAAACAAAATGGAGGGGTTTGGGAGCCAGAACCTGCTTTTATATCCTTTGAATTTTTATTTTAAAACATGGCCTCGGGCCCGCTAAGTTACCGGGGCTTTCCGGAGAAACGGGGCCCCACATGTCCCTACGGAAGACCATTTGGCGTGGGCGGATATTAAATTAAGCTGCGCTGGTTCGTTGGCAAGCTGCAAACTGCAATTTTCCGCCTTTGATCGCCAAGTCTCCGTGCTTGGGTGACTTCGGGCCGTTGCAAAACAGATCTCAAGCAATCTTCCCTCCAACAGTGGGTGGCAAAGGATTGCTTTGAAAATAACCCCCCCAAGGAAGTGGTATAGCTCTGTAGTCAAGCGCGTCAGATCCTGTAACTTAGGCGCTGGCTGAAAAATTTCTGCAAAGAAGTCATGAATTCATCCAGTTTTACAGATGCCACAAATTCTACAGACACTGAAGATTACCATGTTTACTTCGTAGTAGAGGCGTTTTCCTTTGTAATCTTGTTTGTACTTGCTGTAGTAACAATCATCAGCAATGGCGTGTTTCTGTTTACTTACTACAAAGACCCGCTCAAGTGTCTTCGAACTCCGTCGGCGATCTTCGTCGCAGGCTTGACAAGCGCCAATTTCCTGACTGGGTTAATCGTGGAGCCAGCTTATGTGGTTTTCTATATCTGGGCCTACACCTCATATTCAGAAGATGTGTTCAGATTTCTTCGCTTTGCTCAAATCTTTTCATTTTTCACAATGAACGCGTCCTTCCTCATCATGTTAGGACTAGGGATTATTCAGTATTTACTGATTAAGAGCCCCAGGATTTACGACATGTTTGTTAGCCCGAGATCTGCACGCATTGGAGTTGTTTCTATCTGGATTTATTCAATATTTTTTGCATTGATGCCTGAAATGTTTCATGTGGATCTCTTCGCCTACGTCTTGACAGACTTAATACTTCATGTAACATTGTTGACTATTGCCCTTCTTGTACTGTACATAGTTATTTACTTCCAGTTTCGTAAGCTGGCTGAGCGCCATCGTAATGCTGATTTGGGCGAAAGTGCAGGACAGGAGGGTCCTTCTGCAGAGGCAACTGAGTCAGAGCAGCGAAGACGTCAGGCTGAAAAAGACTTTGCGTACGGAACATTTATCTTGACAGCAATTTTGATAATAACTGTCTGGCCATTCTGTATAACTTTAGCCCTAGTGCTGTTCAACTTTACTTTGGAAAGGTATATTGCATTGATGATTGCCCAACTTTTCCTATTGTGGAAATTTGCCATAGATCCTTTTGTTTTTGCCTGGCGTTTAAGGAAGTTTAGGAAGTCACTGATTCTGGCGATGCAGAACACCGTTTGTTGTCCAAAACCATCATTGCTGGGAGCTACATATGTCAGGCAAGATGAGGTAACCAGTCCTAAACCAGAGGGTGATGATGAAGATGTGGAGATGACAGTTGTAGAAAACAGAGAACAAGATCATGGAGCTAATGCTTAATCCAATTTCTAGTTGTAAACTGAAATTGTATGGATAGGAGAGGCATGTAAAAAGGTTTCTAATTGACGTTTAACCTTTTTCTGTCTTGCAACTTTATCCAACAGTTTTCCATATACAGAATCGAGTTTTGAGGGACTGTCAACTTGCTTTTGAGCAGTATTGGAGATTTAGGTAAAATAAACTCTGATGAAAGCGACTGAAACTCAACCTTTGTCTTCTATTATTAATCAGCTCATTTTGTAGTGGTTTGTAATGAGGATACTTTAGTGCATGCATGTATACTTTTTTAGGAGGAAATGACATGTTTTAGTCAGAGACAGCAAGCACAATTTTTTTAAAAAGAAGTACAAAAAGAGCTTTTCATTAAATAATGATGATAAATTTGAAAAACCTAATGCAAATATGAGATCAGGTAATCTGATTTGTTAACCTTTAATTTCTATGAGTGACCAGCATGTAATTTCTCTGTACAGTAATACTGCCGATTCACGGCAGGTACAAAAAGCAGGTCACAGGTCACAATTAACAGGTCACAATTAAAGAGTTATACACCGGATAGAGTACAGGTGTTGCATTATAGTGTTCCATTTCCGGTCGTCAGAAATGAACATATAACATACATGAACATATAATATACAATTGTGACCTGTTAATTGTGACCTGTGACCTGCTTTTTGTACCTGCCAACTTCTGAATCATTCATTAAGATCATGAGAATATAAGAAATGGTCACCAACATAAAAAGTTTTGATTGTTAAACAAATTCTCCTCAGTATTAAAGGAAATGTCCCGAGATGAGTATTGAGAATATGGATATTGACGTTAGGGTGTTAAGTTTAATAAAGCAATCCTCCACATAAGTGAGAGTTTGTAGCATTTGCAGTAGCCATAGCTTTGCAGTTCAAGAGGTGTGCAATCAAATTATGCATTACATATGTTTTAGAGAATGCCAAATCAGTGTAAATTATTCATTGAGTGCCAAACTTAGTGTGGGTTGATATTTGTTTTTCCTTTTTAGTGTCTCTGATTTGTGTGAAAAGTCACTGAAACTAATCAAGACACAATTTCCTGCTAGAGGCTTGGGATTAGGGTCATATGTTTTTCCTTTGATTTTTCTTTGGTTCCTTGCAAAATATGCACCCGATTGGCTATGGTCATTACTTAGGTTTTGTTGTACTCTTACTTTAAAGTGCCCTTTGTCAGGCAATTGGCCAGGTTTACCAAGAAAGTTAGGTAGCTTTAGATCCTTTTGAGTCATTGTATTTTCCATAAAAACAATATCGGATTTTTTCTGTATAATTTGTACGTATAATGTTTTGTAATAGTCCTTTAGTTCAGTTAGATATATTGATATTAGTTGAACAACCTTGAGTAGAGGTTGCTGCTAAAAGCAGCAGTATGAAGTAGTTTACTTTTAAAACTTGTGAAATGATGTAAAATATAATGAAGTTTTATGTAATTCCTATGTTTAAAAAGGGCGGAGGCAAACATTAAAGTGTAGCTGTTAAAAGTTGAATGTCTTAACCCAGAAGTCTCAAGATCATAGAATGATGGTTTCCCCCTTTTGATTACAACACTTTTCCACTTAAGGAAGGTGGGAAAATTAGGTTTTATATTGAGATTAGTAATACACATGAAAAAAATTCTCAGTTCTGATTGGTTAAGATGAATGCAGTTTTCAGTTAATTCAATGCAGAAGAGAGTTAATTCAGTGCAGAAGAGGGTTAATTCAGTGCAAAGAAAGAAACAAACCAGACATTCTGATTGGTCAGAATGATTGGTCAAGGTCAATGTCACTTGCAGGGTTTGAATAAATTATTTTTGCATGTGATGCGTGCGCCTTTCTTCTGCATAGTTATGAGAAGCTATCTTGTATTTTTTTATGTATATTATTAATAGATAATCACATGATTTTCTCATGCAATTTGGAATAAATGAGCACTTGTAAATTTTTTCAAAGACCACAAATTGCACTCGCCCTACGGGCTCATGCAATTTTGTTAGTCTTTGAAAAAATTTACTCGTACTTATTTATTTATTCCAAATTGCACTCGAAATCATGTGATTACCTATACTAATAGAGATTGCTCCATCTAGCTGACAGGATTATCTGTCTTCATCAACTATTTAGTGGATTCTGTTCTGTAATTGGTAGGAGAAGTAAGACTTTTATCACTCGTGTGGCATATGAAAGGTAAGTGGGTGAGAGACCAGTTGAAAAAGGTGGAAAGAAGCTGCTTGATGGACTTTCAAATTTAATAGGAGCTTGTGAGTTCTTATTTAAAAGCATGGTAGAAATATTGTATGCTGCTGTTGGATTTGTTACATTTTTCTGATAAGAAACATGTTTTTGAAAGATTTATAGTTGGGCATCCCTCTTTTAAGCTGTCTGTAATGTGGAATCCTGGAAATGAGGTTACCTGAAAAGCAACTTATGTCATTCCTCTGTTTGAGACAAAGCTGGCTAACACTTTAAAAGGTTTAATCAATTGAAAGGGCCACACCCAAGAATTTGGCTACTCTTTGTGATAACTGTCAATCTTGTTAAACATGTGGGGGGGGGGTGTAATTGTAGCAAAGTTCGATTCGAGATCTTGGCTAAACCTGTACTTGAGGCTTGGAAGCGCAAATAAAAGTTCCTTATTGATAGAACTTTTTAATTCATTATTTAACAATTTGTCATTACTTAACAATTTGATTATGAGCTCGAGAATCACAGAATAGGTAGTGTGCAGCAAAGCCAATAAGATTGCACCATTTGTGATATTTACACTGAAAATACACATATTTGGCACTAACTTACAAGTGTTTCATCATCAGCTGCACCATATGTATGAAGAATGAGATCACACCTGTTCTGGTTCCTAAAGATTACTTCAAGCTCCTGCAGGTATATCTGTATCTAAGGTATCTTTCACACATTTTTGAAATTGGAATATAAGGTGTATGCATTGTATCCTAATTCAATTGTAAATACATATTTTTCCAAGATATGAGGTAAGGATGACGTCGAGGCTGTGTCAGTTGATTCATTTTTAATAGAAAAGTGTTTACCTTTAAAACTGTCAACACCCACTTATGAAAAGGAGGATGACCCCTTCTCCTGACTCTATTAATTAATATAGTTTATTATCCATTAGACCTACTATGAAAATATGATTGTTCAAGAGCATTCAATCAATATAGCGTTTGAAGTTGACATGCAACAGATGTTGCATTCAAAGTCTACCTAGTTTCTAAGCCTCTTGTCAGTACAGTGTTCTTAAACTGTTGCAAACTCAGAGAGAAGTGCCTTTATTTGCAGGTTGTTTAAAAAAATGTACAATAAAACAATTGTTGCATATCAATGCAAATCTGATTTCATTGCAAGATGTGCTGATTCTCCTTTCCCAGTTAGTATTTTGGTGATGCAGTGGTTGTTTTCTTTTTTTCATTTGTTTTTAGGGGGAAGAGCATATCTCTTGTTACACTTATGACACCCATCAAGCTAAACACTATTCTGTACAACATGTGGAATTCACGACATGTGTGGTGAATATTTAATTTGCTTATGATTTTCCTTCAGGAAAGAACTTACTGCTTATATGTGCAGCTATCAGACATATCTTTATGACCTTCTCCTTTTTCAAAGTTTGTAAATTTGATACTTTGTTCGAAATTTATAATCAATTCACGGCTCAAGTTTGTAAATTATTCACTCAGGTTGATTTGAATAAAATGTCATGATCTCGCTAGGGAAGTAGTCGACCTGCTTCCCTAGACAAAAGAAATTTACAAAACACAAATTTTCCATTCAGAGCAATTTCAATTCTTTGCTTTTATTTTTCATAAATAACATTTAAATCTTTTCATCCTACTTTTCACCCAGTTTCAATTACGTCATGGAACGTCTTCGTGAAAACAACTCGAACCTCAGTCAACAAGTAATGTTATTGCGTGACTTTAATTCCATTTGGAACAGATTGTGTGAGTTATAATTACGAGCCCCGGAGAATGGCCCGGATGCATAGCCAGCGTAAATTAGTAAACGAGGCGAAGAACTTTGAGGTGGATTCTCCTTATTTCTTATAGACCATGTCTATAAATCTTGTTAAACACACAGGGGGGTGTCACTGTGGAAAAGTTCGCTTCGAAATCTTAGCTAAACCTGTACTGAAGGCTTACGATTGCAAGTAAGAGCACGCTACTTTTAAGCTTTTGAAAGTTAACATGTAGCGGAGCTGGGTTTGTACATAATTCATCTCTAATTTTTTTGTTATTGTCATCAGTTGTACCATTTGTGTGAAAAAGGAATGCTTCTTGTCTGTCTTCCAAAGGAAAATTTTAAAGTAACGCAGGTAGGCAGAATTTCACTGGTGGATCACGCAAAGTGACCGGTAGATGTACTTAGACAAGCCCCAACTCCACCCCCATGAGGGGCCTCTTCAGTAGATTACCCCTGTTACATTTATAAACTCTCTCAGTATTTACTGTGCTGTTGTGGTATATCCGTGGTAATATAAGGTATACTTGAAAAATTCCAACTAACTGTGCACGTAACCCTCTTGTGGTTGTATCAGGAGTAACCTCAGCGACTCCCTCACCTTGAGCGTGATACTTCCGCCCAAAGATCGTTCTATCAGCCTATCGTCCTATCAGCTAAGTCATTTCTTCATAAGTAGGTCAAGTATCATCACCTTTAACAAATCGTACAGAGTTACGTCTTTTGAAGTGATCATACTTTCGCGGCGACCTTCGATGTTCCAACGGAGACTTTTTAGAGTCAGGTTCTCAGTCAATGGTGACAAGCAAAAAAGGATGCAAGCAAAAGTGGGTGGAGGTCTGCAAAAGAGAGAAAAAGAAGGGGAAAGGGGAAACATCCTTGCTTTCCTCTTGTTAGTCCTGGTACCACCTGGTATTTTCTCTTGCTTGTCTTTAAAGTTAACCCTTCATCATCTCTACATTGTGGCCATTCTCATTATTATCCCATTCTCATTATTATTTTTTTCCAAAGGGAGAAGAGCAAATATCTTGTTACACTTTTAACACCCACGAAGCTAAGCACTACTTTTGTTCCACTTGTGGTATCCACCCATTCTACCATCCTCGCACAAATCCTGAGGCACGTGGCATTTCACTGCAGTGTTTGGATGAAGAAGAAACCAGAAAGAATGCAGAGGTTGTTCCATGTGATGCTATGAACTGGGAGAAGTGGGAGCTATACCTTAATGAACATCCAAAAGCACGAAATCTCACTGAAAATGTGGAGTAGTACTAATTTTAATCAGTAGATCATTATCAATAACTTCCTTTTAGCTGGTAGGATGCCTTGATAACTTATCATGGGACCATTTATATTCCAACTTGTTGTTGACCCTTTCATTCTTAAGATCTTATTAGTAATTCTAACGGATCAAAGTCAGTTTCTGAGCAACTGCACACCTACCCCTCCCCTGACCCAACCATAGCCCTAACTTGTAATCAGGTGACTGTTGTTGGGTTAGGAGGGAGGGGTAAGTCTGCAATTTCTCATATGTTGACATTGATCCATTCTTATGATGTTGTTTGGGAGAATTTGATATTGGATAAGAAATACTGTTATGTTTTATGATTATATTTTTTTTATTTGTGCTCAAATTTTGCTAACAACCATTCTACAATTAGCAGATGAGATTATTTGCACAATGCCACAGGCCTAGAGCTATAAGCATGGACATCATCTTCGTCAATTGGCCTCTAACAGGAGTATTTCACTAACTATATACAATACAAAGTTTGTTTTATTAGTGTTTGGGCCTGCTGTAATTGGCCACAGCTGTTGCAGTGTCCCTGCCAATGTTCTTTCTGTTGTCTGTTTGTGTGTTTGTTTTTTGGAGAAGCTAATAAATTAAATTAAATCAAAGTTGGGTTATCTTGGGAATGTCCAATATGTATCCATATGAACATTTGAGACTGATTTGATATAACAGTTTGCATGTAATGTAGATGGTATCATTTTGTGGTAATCCACTAGGAAAGCCTCTGCCACTCCTTTTTATTAGATCGTTCTTTGATTCCAGGATTTTCCGTGAAAAAAGCCTCTCGATCCTTACCATCAAAACCTACCACTTCTATGCCTTCCTCTGTGCTGCCATTACCATGAGAATTAGACCTCGGTAAAAGTTCTGCGCATGACAGGTCTTGCATAGGAAGTAAAAATAATTGTCTCTACCCGAAAGGAAGAAAAAAAAAGCATCCACAATTTACTGTGAATCAGCCTGCTTTCGTTTCACACGAAGAAATCCAGACTGGAAATAAGTTAGATCAACAACGTGTTGCATGGAATCGTTGTACTACAAACCATAGAGAAATTTTAATTTCTCGATTTTCAGTAAACAATAGCTTAATATTTCAATCCTTCTTATCACCTAGGACAAAATCACGTCAAGGGATACTGTCGCAAGAATAAGCCATTTAATCCTCTGACTTTGGCCTTACAGTTGTGAAAAGAATCACTAAAATAATGGAACAAACAACATAGGTTGCGTGACAATTTGTGTGACATGTCGGGTCCTCCAGGGGACTGGCCCGGCTTCAAAGCCAGCGTAAATCAGTTACCGTGGCGAAGAATTTCGAGGTGGATTCTCGCAATTTCTTGTAGATCATGTTTGTTAATCTTGTTAAACACACTAGAGGATGTCACTGCGGTAGAGTTCGCTTCGAGGTCTTAGCCAAACCTGTGCTTAAGGCTTATGATTGCAAGTGAGAACAAGCTTTTTTTAACTTCTCGAAAATGACATTTAACGAGCAGGTTTATCTCTATAAATGAGTTGTCTCTAACTTTTAATATTATCGTCAGCTGTACCATTTGTGTGAAAAAAGGGATGTTCCTCGTCTGGCTTACAAAGGAAAATTTTAAACTGACACAGGTATGAAAGTTTTCTTCTGCTCACCAAGCTAAATGGTCAGTAAGTGTAATATCAAATTGAAACCCCGCCCCCACCCCTGCCACTCCCCCGGGAAGTACTCCCTTATAAGGGCTTAATGGGGACGTGCGGCCAGTCAGGGTATGGCTATATCGAATACCCCCCTGGGGCCGCTCCCAATTCAGGTCTTTTGGAGGGGTCTCTATTGAAGGTTACCCCTTGCATCAAGTATTCACAAACCCCTAGTGTTATTGCTATAGTTGTATTGTCAATGTGCAAACTAATACACTCAAATAATGTGCTTATAACCTTCTTGTGACTGTCCTGAGTTTATTCTAGTCAACTCTCTTGGAATGACTCCCATACCTGCAGATCAAAAACTTTGATCTCACATCAGCTTATGCCTGTCAACCAATTTGTTATCCCAAACATGAACACTTGGCTTTTACAGACAGACTTGACAAGCACATTTTAATAAGCAGAAAAAGTATCATCCCTTTCATCAGATGATGTGAAGAAAAGTTTGTGGAAGAGATCATACTTTCCCAGCAACCTTGGATACTAAAAGGGAGACTTAAACAGTCAGGTTCTCCATCGGCAGAAAAACAAATAAGCAAGCAAGCATGCAAAAATGGTTGGGGGTCTGGGAAGTAGTCTCGATCCTTAGTCCCCCTTTGTATTTTTTCTTGCTTGCCCAGCTTTTAAACTCACCCTCAAATTGTCCCTTCATATATTGTGGTCAAATATTTTCATCCAAGGGAGATGAGCATATATCCTGTTATACTTACAACACCCACCAAGCTAAGCACTACTTCTGTTCTACTTGTGGAGTCCATCCATTCTACCAGCCTCGCTCAAACCCTAAAGGACGAGGCATTTCACTGCAGTGTTTGGATGAAGAAGAAACTAGAAAGAAAGCAGAGATTGTTCCATGTGATGCTGCAGACTGGAGGAATTGGGAAAAATACCTTGATGAACATCCAAAGGCAAGAAATCTTACTGAAAATGTGGAGTAGTACCAATTTCACATGCTGCAATGATGTATGGCAAACTCAGTACAGAACTTTCATCATTGCAACTTCTTGTGAAATCTCCTGATGTGATCAAGTTGTAAATGAAACAGAAGTTTCAACATAAATACTATCATGTAATTTTTTTATTTGTTTATTTCTAGCTTACAAAATTACCTATAGCTAGTGAGATTGTTTGCAGAATGCCAGAGGCCTGTCGGCATGTCCATCATCCTCGTTGACAGGCCTCTAATGAGATTATATCACTAACTACATACAATGCCAAGTTTGGTTATCTCAGAGACTGTACAGTGTACACATTGGGATATTTCAGACAGTTTGAGTGTAGTGTATATAGTATTTTTCTATGGTAATTCAATGAGAAAGCCTCTGTCAGTCCTTTTTAGATCGTTCTTTGATTCCAGGATTTTCAGCAATAAACTCCTCCCAATTCTGTCCATCACAAGCCTCTACTTCTATATTTTCCACTGTACCGTCATCCAAACAATGAGGCATAACCCCATAGCCGTCAGGATTAGACCGAGGGATATAAAAACTCTGCACACCACAAGTCTTGCAGAAAAGGTGCTTTGCAGCATGTGTATTGAATGTGTAGCAACTTAGGTTGTCTTTACCCTAAAGAAAAAAAAAAATTCATCCTCACTAAAATCATTTCTTAGTCAAGAATAGTAACCCTGTAACCCTTTAAAAGAGTGACTAGCATCTAATATCTCCCTTTAATATCAGCCCTCAATCAAACAAGAAGATGACATGAATAAAGAAAATAATCAACAACTAAAGAAGCTCTTTGATTGTCACACAAATTCACAGTATCAACACCTTAGAAAATGTATTGAGAACTGTGTGGAGAACATGCATATTGATTTAAGGGTCTAAAGAGTTAAAGGCATTGGATAAAATATTGGGACAAGATCTAAAGATCATAGTTAATCTCAGAAAAACCAGATATCAATGTAAGAGTTTCCAATGTGTTTAAATCAATCAATGATATGGATAACTTTGGTATTTAAAATCAATATAAGCTCTATGTTAAGCATTTGAGATTCATCCAAAGAGTTTAAATCATTCAATGATATGAATAAGTTTGGTATTGAATACCATAGGCTCTTAAGTTAGGCATTTGAGATTCATCCAAAGGAAATGTTGAGGCCAATTAAGTAAAGAAGATATTTTTTAAGCAAACAAACAGCTTTAAAACTTGTTTTGAGAAGTTATAAGCTGGATATAACATTTGATACCTCTAACAAAGTAAAGTGATCCTTTGGAACAATAAAATGCTTATTTTGTTTCTTCTTGCAAATACTGCAGCTGTTGAGGATAAAGAAATGTTTTAAGAATCCTGTCTAGCTTGCTTTTACAATGACTACTCTTTGTGGATGAAATGAGCATCACTTTTTACATTAACTAAAGATCAATGTTATTTTCTGTAATTTCAGGTACTTGACCTAAGAAATCAATAAAGCAACAGAAGGCTGTCAAAAACACCTTGAATTTTGGGTTGTGTGACAGAGGAAGAATTGCTAAAAAAAATTGTTAGCTACAAAAACTAAAAATTCTGCCTATGACCAAAAAGCATCTACAGAATTGCAAACTAATTTATTGAAGGCTGGAACATGGGGTATAATGACTGACCAATACAGCAGATTTGAAGATGATCATAACTGAGGTTTGAACTTGTCACTTGAAGACACCTTACTAACTTACCGTCTTAATATGAGTGACTTAGAAAAACAACCCGTGGGGGTGGGGGAGGTTACCATGGGGCGATGAGCTAAAATCACCGCTGACAAGGCTACAAGATAGCAATGAGGTGGGTCATGTGAATTCAACAGTGCAGTTGCCTTTTCTAACAAGCGGAAATTTTCAAATCTGCAGTTACAGATTCTATATTAAGGACGGGAACCCTGTAACGGGACCCAAGGGACTGTGCAAAATCGGGGCGTTGGCAGAGAGTGGGGTCATAAGGGGTAAAGAAAGTCGACAGATATTCTTTGGACTGGGCACAAAAACAGAGAGTACAAAATTTGGTAATTTCATCTCTTTCCTTAAACTAATCACATGAAAAAAGTTGTTGGGAGAAACCACATTGTTTCGAACTTTGAAGTTTTTTAAATACGATGTATTTGCACAGATTTTGTGTGGGCTCATCTATGTTTGAGTTACCAGGTCATAACTCACTTGCAGTCTAACACGTGAAGTACTGCTGGGGCCATCACTTCAAATCGAACTTTTCCACAATGACATCCACCTTTATGTTTCACTAACTTTTCTGTCGCCATTTTGAGCGTGAATCAATATCAGTTGGGTAGAGAATAAGTTCCAGTTGGGGGCGGGGATCAGGGCGGACCACTGGTCAAAGACCAAAGGGAGGTTACTAAGTTAGATATCCTGCCTTACACGTAAACAATTTCTGTTTACTTTAGATGTAATATAACTACGATGTCTAAGTATTTTTATAGTACCTGTTTTTAACAAGTTCTTTTTGTCAGGTAGAAGAGTTGGATAGAAATTCATGAAGATCTTGTTCCTTGCGTCTTTGACGTCGGAAACTGGAAATTTCTCCACTGCCGATCGAATAAGGTAATTAAGTGTTTTCGATCGAATAAAGTGTTCGCGATTGGCTTGCGTTTAGCGAACAGGTAGTTCTATGATCTATTAACTTTGAAAATATGTAATCAGAAGTCATGTTTTGGTCCTATGTTGGGAAGGTAATTGTTCTTTTTGACAGATGTATCAATCAGAAGAACTAGAAACACTAATAACACAAATAATATCCTGTATCATGGGCTTATAGAGTTATGAAAGTGCCATTAGATATTACAATATTACGGCCCGAATAGAAATTTTTTATCAAATCTACAGGTTCTAAGAATATAAGTGTTTCAGTAAAAAGGTTAAATGGCGTTATAACTACTGATTTTTTGCTTGTGTTTTGTACAGAAATATCTCATGTACTTCAGGTTGAGGGAATGAAAACTAGTTTTTGTTTTGATTATAACAAATTTGAAAATATTTTGAAAGTGTTTAGAACATCTTTGGTGATTACGCTACAAAAATCCTCAGAAATTCGAGTAGTGAGAAGAAGGACATCTCACTAATTGTAGGCTCAGAAAAGTTTACAGGCACACATGTCATTTCAGGTTAGCTCTAAAGTATCTTTTCTTTCTCTTCCTACCGGTAAATTTCTAGGAGATGTCTCAGTGATTATGACACAGCTTGCTGCCTGCGTTGTGTGACATCCTTCAAAGACAGTGAGTCAGTAAAGAAGTTTATTAAAACTGATGGATTTCACTGTGCCATTGGCATACATGCGTGGAGAGCTGGACGGCTGTTATTAGGTAAGTCAGTGTAGCATAGCTGTCAAGGTGTTACGTACTTACTCGTAAAATATCATGAACTTGACAAATAGCTGTTAAATAGTTGTAATCACGTATTCTAATGGAGACAATATTTAAGACTTGTTTTGTAGGTTGTATTGTAATTATTTTTGTGAACAGTGAAGTCACTTGTTTGAATACTATACAGTAAGTATCTAACCGACCAATACAAAACTCAAGAAAATACCCTTCCTAGATATAATTTTTGCCGTAACCCAAATTTGTTTTAATGGATGATACGATCCAAGATTAGTGAGGCACAGGCAGACTCATATGGGAATCTGAGACAGAAGTCACAAATCCATTCGATTATTGATTCTGTTTGGATTTGGGTCAGGGTTGCCTGCACAGTATTTAACTCATATTTTACAACTTTTATCAATAGGTAACCTTCTCCCTGCTAATTTGCTACATTGTCCAAAAAATAGGTGATGTGAACCTGAATCAGGGTGAAATTTTTGTGTTGCTTCTTGATGTTGGATGTTATTCTCTTCACTGATATTCATGCTAAAGTATAATAAGTAGATTGGAGAACTACAGACCTTACAAATAAAAAGGTAACAAAAAAAGGTTTTATATAGTTGTCATCAACCATAGTAATTATAAGAAGTGAATATGATCATTATAAATATGTTGTAAATAAATGCAAAAATTTATTTTCAATCCCTTGTCAGATTGTCCAGTCCCATTTGCTTTAATATTTGGAGGAACAGATCTGAATGAGCACCACAGGGACAAAGAGAAGTTTGTGACCATGAGCAAAGCCATCAATAAGGCAAAGTAATCAGATAAACTTAAAATCAAATTGCCTCATCTGGATCTTCAAAAATTAATGAATTACCTGCTAACAGAATTTTATTTGAATGTTGATAACCATACTTTTAATCAAACTTGAGAAAAGTCCCAATTTACAGGGGGGAAAACGGCGGATGATTATAGTGACCTAGCTCTGATAATTTTTGGAACATTTTCAGCAATCTGGGTAAAGGGAGCATCTTCAGCATTTGAGTCTTTACAGAAAGTCTTGGTAAAGTGATATCCTAACTTGATATATTTTGAAGGCTTATTTAGTGTATTAAACATGTTTTAAACATTTACAGGAGACATAAGAAGAGATCAAAATGTCTCGAACATGGTACTGTCATCAGCTGGGGCGGATCCAGGGGTGGTTTGTTCGAACCCCCTAAATTTTCCCTCAAAATGCTGGAAATCATGTTTCTGGAGACCTGATTTTCAAAATCTCCCGGAGAGCATGCCCTCAGACAATTCTCCAAACCCTCCTTGACTTAATCTTGGATCCGCCCCTGATCAGCATTATAATATACTCCATCTTCCCACAAGAAATTTGCTGCCACCATGTGTTGTCATTTTGAAATTTCTTTTTTAAGATCCCTAGTGGCATTCAGCAGTTCAATGAAGAACCAAGCCATGGCTATATGGGTGAGTTTTGAACAGTAAATTTATCATTTGTAAATATTAGAAACTGGTTGGATGAAGTTTATTCCTGAGCATGCTCTTAAAATTCTGAAGAATGAAGATATTAAGCATATTTCATGTGAAAGATTTATTGCAATATAAGATGTGGTCTTGTGTTTCAACACACACAAACTGATAGTTTTTTTTTTTATATTGTTTTCCAGCCAAATTGTGAAGAGAAAATAATTTTACAAGCACAAGGTAATCAATAAATCCAGCTTCGTAAGTTTAGTTTTCCCTTCACTTTTGGATTTTTTTAAAGTTTAATTTCAAAAAAATTTTTCTCCGAAACAAGAGTCTAGGGAAGGCTTAATCATTCTTTTACTTCATAACTCTTGCAGCAGTTAGTGTTGAACCATCAGGATTTCTGTTCCATGACTATTTCAAACAAGTCATTGGTGAGGAATTACTAATTTGCAAGTCATTATTAATAGGGTTATAATAAAATATTTTAGTTATGTTCTTCATTGATTTATCTGAAGTGGTTCTGTTTCGTCTTTGTTTAATTTTCAATTTTTTTTAGTAATTAAAGGTGAGAAAACAATGAATATTTTTTACTGGATTGATTCTGTCTTGTTATTTTTTTATTTCATTTTTAATTTGTTGGTTTTTTTTCAGATGCACAGAAACAACATCAAATTTCAAATGGTTACCTCAGTCCTAAACATTCTGGCCTTGTGAGTTAATCAAGCATACAGTTACTTTAAAATTATGAATTATGATAACTTTGCTTTGCTATCTCAAATTTTGATATTTCTGCAATCAGAACTGAGAGGTAATTTACTATCTACATTTGATAGCATAATAATATTACAGACCCTCAGTTACTGTCAGTTGTAAGAAAACAATTTCTCTTGCTGCCTCTTGACCTCTGATGCTCTCATAAATTCTCATTAATGTACATTGCTTGTTTAAAATCAAAAACACCATGTTTTTGTTTCAGTCTTACCTCTAACAACATTTTGTTTTTATAGACTGTGTTTATGTTGGTTGCTGGTTTAAGGCGAGTGAAAGACCCTCTTTACCTGGCAGAATCAATATCAGGTGGGTGTGTTGTTAACTTTAGTCACGGTCACTTTGGCTCACTGGTGTGAAATGCTGATCAGAGCTATGTACAATGGTTAAGACTATTTTTGACTCTTTAATTTCCAAGGCCATATTCCTGTGTTGAAAGTTGTCTTCATTTAACTGCCTGTCTCCTTGATATTGTGTTGAAATTATATGGAGAATTTTCATACCAATCGTTGAGAAAAAAAAGAGTAGTTTATTTTATTTCATTTGTTCCATCCAACATCCTCATTGTTATACCTTGTTGTAAGGGCATTTAGGATGTTTTCAACAAAATTTTTCTCCTAGAGTGGCATAAAGATGACAATAGCATCCACTTTGTGATAGTAGGACCAGAGGTGAGTTTCTGTTCAATGATCAACAACCAATAAAAATTCCTTGTCTTTTTCTTACTCTGTTGGTTTATTACATGGGTCTAATTACATGAGCGGAGGTGGGTGGGAAAAGGGAGATTAGGAATTTTCCACCTCTCGTACCACACCCCTTACCTCTAACCACGTGGCCCCCATTCACTCCCTCTATCCCTCACTCCTCATTCCTCCACTTTCATCCTTGCACCATATCCCCACTCTCCTCTCCCTCCCTGTTCTCTCACTCTTCTCTCACTCCAATCCATCTCTTTTCTTTCCTCTTCATCCCCCTTAACCTTTCTCTCTTTTTATTTTACCCCTTTTACCCTTCTCCTCTTCTCCCCGCTTACCCTTCTCCCTCCCTCAGTTATCAGTCCATCTCTCTTACTTTTAGTCCTTCCCCTGTGCCCCCATCTTCATTCTTCTCACCCCATTAATCATCCTCCAATCCCTTTCTTGTTCTCATTACTTCCTTGTCCTTCTTATCGCAGCCTTTACCTTGCTAACTTACTCTTTCACCTAGCATATCTCCATCCTTCTCCACAACCTCTGTCCATTCACCATTCCCCTTATCCCACCCCTCCATCCTCACACATCTGTTATTCTACTCCAACCCTCATTTCTTGGTCCTCCTCTCTCTCTACCCTAATTTTTCAGTCCCCTTACTCCTTTTCTCTCCATCCCTTTCCCCCACCTTCAACTTCTCTGTCATTCTCCCCAACTACTCACTTCTCTGTTTCTTCTCCCTGTCTCTTATGTCGGTGTCCCTCTCCCCCCAACCCTCACCTTTCCACCTTTATCCTCCCTACCCTTCACCTTGCATATCTTCCTCATTCCTCATCCCTCCACCTGGCCTCCCTGTCCCTCTCCACCCCATTGATTCTCACCTCCTCCCTCTCCTTAATATATTTTTGTCTAAAACTTACTTTCGCAACCTACTACTGTGTAAGCACACAGATAAATTTGCACTTTTAAATGTAAAAATAAATTTCTTTAAATAAACTTTGAGCACTATACATCACGTAATGTTTAAAAGTTATTGCTTGCTCAGCTTAAAGCACGAAAGGAGTAGTTGAACCGTTTGAATAAATTTAATTTAATTGCTCAGTCATCATATCTGACAACTGCACTTGATACAAGGAGCACTCTGAATTTGTATTTTACGTTTCCTTTTGTTTATTTTCTTTTATGTTAATAGCTTGACACTGAATTCGCCACAGAGATCAAATCTAAAGTGCAGAGGTATCAATAACTGGATATAACCATAGATAAACCTCTGTGTAATGTTAAAATATGTAAAAAGGACTAAAATCCAAATTATTTTGAAAGTTTCTGGTTCCTGACAAAATAAAATGCAATAGGTGGTTTGCAACCAGTCTCTAGAGACACAGGTAACAATGGTGAAAGGAACAAATGCTGGTGGACGAACACAAGAAGCTAATGAGATATTTATTGTTTACGTCCACCAACATGGCGGCAAAGATGTAACGTGCAAACCACCTTTACTGTACCCAACAGTTCAGAATTTGCCGTAAATTTTATGCCAGCGCTTTATATTCCTCTTGTTACTACTTCTGTTTTTTACTTCCTTCAAATGGTCTCTTCGGAGAAACGTTTTAGACTCCCTTTCATACTCCTTGTTTTACATTAATTTTCATGTTGCTAGTTTCCAAAATAATTAGGTAATGGTGAAAAAAGGGAAAATGAATACCCAATATGAAGATGAAATATATTTTCTCGAACTGTTGTGGATAGATGCCACAGGTCAGATGTTTAAGTTTTATGGTTACTAACCCCCAAAGTGTAACTTATTCTTTAAGGTTTCCAGGTGTTTACATTTTTCCACCATTACCAGCACGTGATCTCCATGCAGCAATGCAAAACTGCTTCGCTGTTGTGAACAGTTCAACCAGTGAAGGAATGGCATCTGCACTTTTAGAGGTTAGTCAATCAATAAGAACTTTATCACCTGAATCGCTATAAACGGACTGTATTAGAATTAAGGCTTAATTCAAAGCTGTATGTTACACAGTAAAAAAAACTTTGTCTCTCTAATTTTTCATTTGAAAATGTCCTTAAACGTGACTCTGACTAGGAAATTGCAACATCAAATATTGTAGTAGCAGTAAGTCCATTGCAAAAGGCAGCACGTGCGACAAAGAAAAAGCGCACGTGCATTTGTTATGATCGCGTGCGCTGCGTTTTGATAGCTGCAACTCTTGGTTCAGGCAATTGAGACCAAACAAAGATGTCCGTCTGCCATAAACTCCAATATTTGGTTTACCTCGACAGACACTAATTGGTTTATTGTAAGAATAAAGTGACTAGTTAAAAATCCGATTATTGTTGTCATAGAATAACGGATTTTCTCAAGGAGGGGGGCATTGGGGCCTCTGGGAAACCGCAAAACCGGAGAAAAAAAACCGACGAAAAAAGGCAGCAAAATTGAAAAACGCATGCAAACCTGACAAAACCGCTACATCTTCACCTTTAAAGGGGTCAAAAAGGAAAAACCGAAAACCGCATCAGAGTTTCGTGAAAACCGAAAAACCGAACCTTTTCGGCCCAAAAACCGATCCAAAAAACAGTCAAAACCGAAAATCCCAAAGCCCCCCTCTTCAAGCAGTGTCTCGGACTCTATTATTTTTCTTCCTGAAAATCGTTGGTGAATTCTGACTGGTCAGTTAACATAATTGATGACCATTCTCTATGATTTAGTGTGAGGCCTTTCTTTCTTTTCGAATATTCATGTTTTTTACGTTTCTGTCCTATAACAGTCCATGGCACTTGGTGTTCCAATACTGGCACGAAACATTCCTGGAAACTCTGCTGTAATAAAACACAGAGAAACTGGTATTCTCTACAATTCACCTGAGGTATGTTTCTCAGATAAATTTGGCTATTTCACCTCATAAGATTTAAAATAAAAAGTCAATCTCTTTTTGGTCCACAAAGTTAACTGGATTCCGATTGTCACTGTAAACATATCAGGTTTTAGTTTTTGAACGGTTTTTTTGTTAAGCATGCATGATGGTTACTTTCCGTAGCCTGTATATCTTTTCATTGTGTTTGCTTACTCGAGTTAACAATACCAGGTGTCATTACTAGGAGAAATCTTAGATGATACGAGAGTTGGAAAAGGCCTTAACTGTACTTAAAATCAACACAACATAATGTTTTTCGGTGGTTTTCCTTAAAGGAATTTGTCGCACTTGCCAAAGAGTTAAAGAAATCTCTTACACTTCGCAAGTACATAACAACGAATGCAAAAAATTATGTTGGTGAGCATCACTCTCTCGAAAAGGAAACTAAGACATACAAGTGGCTTGTGGACAAACTTGTTTCACTTCAGCGAAAACAGTGTGGATCCACCTGCGAGGCTTGAAAACTGAGAAACTCTGATGGAGCAGATATCTTGAAGAATATGCATAAGGCTTCTGATGGAGTCAAAAATGGAAAACGTGGTGAAGCTTTGTTCAGAAATTCCTGAAGTAGAAGTGGGGTTAATGGTCTGGATTGAAGGGTCGTGATGCTAAATCGGCGCCACGGGAACTCAGCTGAATGCACCGCTCCGGTTGCAAGAACTCTGACACGTTACACTCGTATAAAGTGATGGCCAATACGTGCTGGTCTTACAGGATCATGTTTGTGAGGTGTTGATGGTCTGAGGAGAAAGTACATTGTGTGGAATTTAGCTTTTTTTGCCATAATCCCGAGTAAAACCGCGCTGAGTGACAAGCCAAGTAATAGCTGTGAACAAAGCTCAACCATGAATCACGAGAACAAAAACTGCAGGGATAAAAGAGCAACGTGTGTATTTCTCAGGTTTGAATAAAAGAATTTTGACCCCTTGTACGAATAGTGGTTAAGAGAAGAGCACTCGCCAACAGTAGATAAGCACTTTCTTGCACAATGTAATCAGTCCCAGCCTAGTTTCCTTCTGGAACTTTTACGGCAAGGCGGCCGAAAGTTACAGTTACGCGGTAGGATCTGGGTACTAGATTAGTCCCAGCCAACGCAGCCATTGGCTCCCCATTGGATGATGTGTAAATTCTTGGATTTGATAATGAGTAAAAAAAAAGCTTAACCTGAGCTTGTGAATATTGAAACAATATTGACAATTGCATATGAGCTTGTGAGTATTGAAACAATAGAAATTCGTTAATGAGCTTCTAGTATCTTTTTGGAACCACACGCGAAACTAGTTTTCGAACTCATTAAACAACTTCCATTGTTTCAATATTCAAAGAGGATTTTCTTGGCCTACGAATATGCTGCAACTTTGACACTTGCACACAAGACAGCTAAACACGCCTTTTCCAACGTGGTTTAAATTGTCCCAGAATTCCCCATTTTAACTGAGATATAAACCTGTGAATATTAAAACAATAAAAATTTGCTAATGAGCTTTTGGCACCTTTTGGAACCACACGTTGAAACTAGTTTTCTAGCTCATTAACAAAATTCTATTGTTTCAATATTCAAAGAGGATTTTCTCGGCCCACGAAAGAGCTGCAGCTTTGACATTAGCACTCAAGACAGAGCTACTTACGTTCTTTCCAACGTGCTATAAATTGTCCGGAATTCCCCATTTTAACAGAGATATGAGCTTGTGACTATCGAAACAATAGAAATTCGTCAATGAGCTTCTGGTAACTTTTTGGAACCGCACACGAAAACTAGTTTTCAAGCTCATTAACAAAATTCCATTGTTTCAATACTCAGAGAGGATTTTCTCGGCCCACGATGAGAGCTGCAACTTTGACACTTGCACTCACCTCAGAGCTAATCACGCCCTTTCCAACGTGCTCAAAATTGTCCCGGAATTCCCCATTTTAACAGAGATATGAGCTTGGCAATATTGAAGCAATAGAAATTCGTTACTGAGCTTCTGGTAACTTTTTGGAGGCACACACTAAAACTGGTTTTCTAGCCCATTAACAAAACTCTGTTGTTTCAATATTCAAAGAGGATTTTCTCGGCCCACGAAAGAGCTGCGGCTTTGACGTTAGCTCTCAAGACAGAGCTACTTATGTTCTTTCCAACGTGCTATAAATTGTCCCGGAATTCGCCATCTTAACAGAGACATGAGCTTGTGAATATTGAAACAATAGAAATTCGTTAATTAGCTTGTGGTAACTTTTTGGAACCGCACACTAAAACTGGTTTTCAAGTTCATTAACAAAACTCTATTGTTTCAATATTCAGAGAGGATTTTCTCGGCCTACGAATAAGCTGCAACTTTGACACTTGCACTCAAGACAGAGCTAATCGTGCCCTTTTCAACGAGCTAGAAATTGTCCTGAAATTCCCCATTTCAACAGAGAAATGAGTATGTGAATATTGAAACAATAGAAATTCGTTAATGAGCTTGTGGTAACTTTTTAGAACCGCACGCTAAAAGTAGTTNAACCATCTCATGGGTATTCGTTCGCACTGAATTTGCATTCCGCACTTTCTAGTTTGTGCCCCCGAGGTTACCTGGTGGTTCTTGATTAAAAAGCACAAGAAAAGAATAAGAAATGTAGCGCTTTTCGATTCCGAAAGCGGATACAAGTGGTTAAAAACAGAAGCTATCGTTCGCTAAAATACGAACACTATCAATTAAACAATCAGCAACAAAGTTAAAGGAAAAACACACAAAATTGACGGCCCAAAATTGATTTTATTATAGGAAAGATGAATCATTCTGTCTTATATTTAATCTGAAGGAATGTTTTCAACTACAGTAAGCAAACACTTACAGTGTCGCCAATTTACTTTAATTTACGGGTTTTCAGGGGGAATAGTTGTGTAGCATTGCGGAACCACGGAGAATATTAAGATTAAAACAACGGCACATGCAAATTCGTATTTCGAAATAGCTTGCTTTCTTCCCATTTACGTCAGGTTTTTCACAAAACATTTTAAACAATTTGGCTATATTGTCTTTTGGAAAAACTTTGCTTCTTTTAACTTTTTTGATCTATTAACCCAACTTTACCGGGCTTTCTTGATCAAATGCTATGCTGTTTCAATCAACGGAGGTTGGAAATTCATTTGCTCAGCAAGCTCCAGAACTTTGACGTGTAAAGAATAGTCACTGTCCATCAATTCCAGGGCGTCCATGTAACTCATAGCGGCCTCCGATACCTTGCCCTCTACTTCCAGTTGTCTGTAAATAAAAGAAAAATATCAAGAGGATCAAGGTGAACTACCAAATAGTCTCCTCGTGCCCAGTCTCCTCGTGCCCAGTCTCCTCGGAGTCTTTTCATCGACATTTTCTGTCATTTCTCATTTATATTGCACATCTTAATCCTATGCTAATCTCTTAACCCTTTCACTCCCATAAGTGACCAAGACAGAATTTCTCCTTACAAAATCGATACAATATCATGCAGACAAGTGATGAGAAGAAAAGAAAATATCATTTGGGTGGTTTATTAATTGATCCAATACCAAATTCTTAAAACCAGCGTCATACAAACTCATACAAACATTATACGAGTTGTAACTGAGTTGCACGAACAATATCCGAGTTACATCCGGGTTGGACAAGCACTATCCGAGTGACATCCGACTCATAAAAACATTATACGAGTCATAACTGAGTTGCACGAACAATATCCGAGTTAAATCCGAGTTGCACAAACATTATCCAAGTTATGTCCAAGCTGCATGAACATTACCCAAGTTAAATCCGAGTTGCAAGACCATAATCGAATTAAATCCGAGTTGCACGCGAATTATCCGAGTTAAATCCGAGTTGCACGAGAATTATCCGAGTTAAATCCGAGTTGCACGAAAATTACCCAAGTTATAACAACCAAACTCCGGCAAATTTACAGACCAAAAAAAGAATTGTATCAAGCAGCACAAACCTTCCATTTACGAGACACGAGTCGTACTTCTCTCGTTCTGTCGAGCTTATCACACATGCGCACTTGGGTATCTTGATGGCATCAGACACATGTTCCCCTGAGGGACACTGGTTCAGTAGAGAGCCTTCCCCGTCCTCGTTGTCTTCATCTATGTCAGCATTGTTACCATCTTGTGAGCTCTCGCGCACATCTAACTCGTCATCGTCATCATCGTCGATCACCGGAAGTTCAATCCTCTGACTCATACTTTTCCGTCTGTTTTTCTTCGTCACAGCAGGCGAGTCACTGATACTGAAGGAAACTTACAAGGTGACATATGTATTTCCCATTAACGCTTCTGCTAGCCCGCAAAAAACGTCTGCGATCCCAAACGATTTCTGTAACTTCATATTTTTAACCAATCATATTTTGGCCCCTTTTTTGTGAAGCTGACACGCGAGGGGTAAAATGGCGGGTGGAGACAAGATCCCTCTGGAAATATGGTTGTCACAGTAACTTTTGCGTTCTTACCTCTACCGTAATGATCTAAAATAGAAGGCTATCACAGTATTTTGAGGTTTTCCCTCAGTTAAAAGTCAGCTTAGTCCTGTTAAGTCTATCCATGAAATTCATTATAGTTTTACTATTATGCCAAAAGAAACTATTGAAATATTCCGGTTGACTATTAACACAATGCTTGCAAACAAAACAGTTGCGTATAATACTCCCAGCATACATTTGAAGTGGCGGAGAACTCTCCTCACGAGGTGCAGGAGAACAAAGATCTATGAACTCTGGCGATGAATCCTTTGTTGATGTTGGAGCCTGGTGGGAAAAAAAGAGGAATTCATCTGTACAGTCGTTTCTTTGAAAGATAAAATTACATAATCAGGTTATAATATGCTTCCATTCGGTACAATCAAGCCTCTCTTAAGAATTAAACCGTAACCCAAGGAACAGGACAAAATGCCTGGTTTAGAGAGGTGGCTGTAAGGACAGGTTCGACTGTCTACAGAAAAACAGGAAAGTTAAAAACGAATCGAATGAAACTGGTCAAAGAGAAAAATATCAAAAAACCATCTTAGAAGCAACGTGTGCGGTTGACCACATGGTTGTTCTGTCATTATCCGATCATGATTATTGCCTCTCAGTCTGACATATACCATTCAAACGAGGAGAAGGTTTCACAACTTCTGATCGCCATTTAAAAACATCTTGTTGCGACAATCACCTATAAATCACTCTGAGTATTGAGGGTAAGTTTCTGTGCTGCTGTGTCTGTTGGGAAGGGGGTTAAGATAACTTGGTTTTATTGAGTTGATGATGTAAATCGGCCACGGTAAATAGTTTCTAAAGCCGACGTTTCCAGCCTTAGTCCTGACGAAGGGGCTAACGCTCGAAATGTAAGCTTTAAAAACTATTTACGGTAGCCATTTTACATTATCACGCCGGTTAATAAAGCAAAATCTCTCCTAGTATGATTCACAAACCTGACTTGGCTGAAATCTCTTCGTGTCCTCGCGTTTGGGTATAATGAACAACTCACTATCAATTTTCGCCTGTATTTTCTGCCGGGCATTCATGGTATTTTCACTTGAAGGAAGAGAATGCCGTTGTCCCTGGGGTAAAGCCATTCTTTCCTGGTTATCTGGGATCCTTCGGGGGCAGGTACTGGGGACTCCCGATAGGGGAAATAAAGTACCGGATGAAGTTTGTCCTGAAAATCCTGATTCAGCCGCCACTAAATTCTGGGCTCGGAGAACCTTAAAGAAGGTGAAAAAATACAACAGTTCAAGAAGTAAAATCCGCACAAAAGAATCAATCGAGGAACGTACGAAGAGCCTTCTGGGTCTCATTTATGTCAACAAATCACGAGGCTGAAAACAATGACATTATGTATTTTTAAGATATTTTCCTTGAAGAAAGATAAAATTAAACATCAGAAATGGTTTTGTGATCTCCTTCGCACCATACGTTTGGCATATCGTCAAGAAATATGCTTGCTCCCTCCTCTCCCCTCCCCTCCCCTCCAAAGCGTTGCGTGATATCCCAAACCACGACCGCGAAAGAGATTAACAGCCTAAAGGTACAAGAAAAAGGAGTTTTGCCAAAGACTTAAAATTGAAGCAACTAAAGGGGTGAACGTGACGACATTAAACAGCAGAACAACTTACTCTAGCTTGAATTGCCTCCCTGTCAGGTACTGAATCTTCATCAGTTGTCTCCGCATCTTCACGAGAATACATCAGATCATGGTCAGAAATACCAAATATATCTGTAGAGTGGCAACACTTTATTAAATTCAATGTAGGTACTGACTGAAGGTAAACCGTTACTCACGGCCCTTAAATTGGGCACTATCTGTTCCCTGATCCACGGATTTATTACGTTTTTAATATCCAACTCCACTGAAAAGAGCGAAAACCACTCACCCAACTTGAAATAATTACTCAACTTTTCAAAGAAAGATATCTAGGACATTGAAAACATAATCCAGTCCCCGCAGGATGCCGCAACGCAGGGATATTGCTGTGCATATCAATGTCATGTCAAATTATATTCACAGTGCAGAATGGATAAATTCAGGGTAGTGGTAACTGGAACGTAGCCAACCCGAAAATTCACGTAAAACGAAGTCCATTGCCTTAGAATCCGTACCCCACAAAGTAGGTGCTACGGAATTGACATGCCTCAATCTCCAAACCCGTCCAAACTGCCACCGTGCATCTATTGTTATTGAATGAAAGATCTTTAGAAAAGGGGTTGGTAAACGGTCTAAATTTCATTAAACGTTTTTAGGTGGACTAGTTGATGTCGTTGATAAGCATCTATTAGGAATCATTATTGTTCAGTGACTCACTCAAAGTGTGTAAAAACTCAATATGTTTCTCCAGTTTACTATCAGTTTTTCTGTGTTTTGAGTGCATCTGATCAAGCTGTAGTTGCGTATTTGAATGATGAGGATCTTCCAGTGTGAACAGGTCACGTAACTCTTGGTGACTGAAATATCTGTAAAATGAATAGGTCAGTGTTAGATTTAGAATGAGTAGACATAAAAAAGAGATGAGAACGCCTCCTTAAATGGAGAGGCTATGATGAACAACTCTAAAGGAAAGGTCATGTCAAAGCCACTGAGAGGGACCCTGAGGGCCTTGAAATGAACGACCACGTACGTCTAGCCAGACTGTAGCCCGGGTCTTGCTAAGCCTCGTTACCGCTGCACAGGGAATGTAATGGTTCCCATCTTCAACGATGCAAAATGATTCACGGGATGCGATACATCATCAAAACAAACGGGACAAAGAGAAAACAGTGCGCGAGGCACTGACACAACAAACAATGAAACGGAGGGCAGAGAAAGTAGTGCGCGAGATACTGACCGTGACGTAACAAACAATCAAAGAGACCACAGAAAAAACAATGCGCAAAACACCAAGGTTAAAAATAAGCAAACAAAATAGAGAGAAAACGGTACCCGAGACACTACAGTAACGAAGAGTCAAACAGAACACAGAAAAGACAGTGCGCGAGACACTAACGTGACAGACAATCAAACAGATCACAAAAAAAGAGAGCGCGAGACGGTAGTTCAACAAATAATCAAGCAGAACACAAAACAAACACGTGATCAACTCAGAATCCCTACGAAAGACAAAAAGATCTCACTGGCTTTACCTAAAGGGATTCTTGGACAAGCCTGTGGTCTGCTTCATCAGAGCATCTTTGAAGATCTGCTTGCGGTAAATCTTCTCTTCAAGTGTTCCACATGTTATGAGCCGGTAAATAACAACAGTCTTTTTCTGTCCAATTCTGTACGCTCTGTTTATAAAAACACACTTGTTCTTATCTTTTAGCCTCGTGTTTGAGTTTGAACACTGAGTACCGCACCATTCGGTTACGATAAACTGTAACAATGTATTCACTAATTGGGACAAGTTTCCACAGAATATCAAAACGTATCAAAAGTTTGTGGTTGACTTAGTCCTTATCTCGATGCATTACGGGATTTTTTACATTGTTTTTTTTGGAATGCTTTTGAACAACGGAATAGATCAGTTTCCCCAGGTTCAAAAGTAACGCACTTCCCCTTGCAACAACCAAATAGACAACCCCCTGGCAAATTAAAAATACGCCCCGATTAATTCAAGTCAAGTCATCTTCATTTAGGTAGGGTAGCCCCATCAGCCATACACTGGTAACAAAAGAGGCCCTGAGTGTATCAAAAGGGGCCCTGAGTGTATCAAAAGGGGCCCTGCGTGTATCAAAAGGGGCCCTGAGTGTAGCAAAAGGGGCCCTGAGTGTATCAAAAGGGGCCCTGAGTGTATATAAAGGGCCCTGCGATAAACCAACCTTCCCCCTCCCTAAATAAAACACTTTCTGGTATTGTACCTGTCTACTGCTTGGGCATCTGAGGCGGGATTCCAGCTCGGGTCAACTGAGGAAACAAGAATTATTTTTTCAGATTGCACCATGCTCGAGCGGATTTATTTTGAAATACCGTGTGTCTAATTAGAAGAATTTGAAATTCGGCGTGAACAATAACACTATCAAAGCGCGTCCGAGAAATAAACCATAGCGCTAGTGAGGTTGATTCCTATGTCTTACGCTGAATTACAAAATGTCAAAACTGGGTTAATTATAAAGTTCATTGCCCAGTTAATCGTGCTTATGTCTACTGTTTTAAGTTAGATTTTGAAAAATCGGTACAGAACTATTTGGTAGGTGGTCGTATCGAAATATCTTAGAAATCGTGGTACAAACGTTCAATACTTACAGATAACCACGCGATCGGCAGAGGTTAGTGTTATTCCAACGCCACCGACCTGCAGAAATAAGTTTTTTAAAAAAAGGGCAGTTGAACTATTTCAAAAATAACAGGTCATCAAATTCGAGTTGCTCCAGCGAAGTTTAAAAAGCGAACGTTTTAAAAGCATTAGTCGATTTTGGCCCGACGTAGCTTTGCGTGCAAAAATGGAAACTAATCAGACACTAATATCTAAAACCAGGCACTTGTGTCCAAAGGAGGACCCTTGTCTCTAAAATCGGACAAGAGTGTCCAGAATCGAACATTAGTGTCTAAAGGCGGACACTTACATCGAAAATTGGACACTAGTGTCTTAACTCTGACACTGGTATCAGAAACCTGAAATCTGAACAAATGTCACAGACCTGTGTGGTGAGAAGGAAGCATGTGTAAGAGGAATCAGTCTGGAATGTGTTGATTAGATGTTGTCGTTCAGCTGTACTTGATATCGTCCCGTCGATACGAATAACCTTGTGTCCCTGACGATAAAATGCCACAGTGTAAGTAATAGTTTGTGACTGGGATCACATAGACAAGTTAGCTCTGTAGAGAACGCACCAGTAGATTTTCAAAATTTAATTACTTAATCAGAGATTGCTGAAATACGGGAAGATTTGACTTAAATAATATTACTTTACAATGATAACAAACAAAGTTATTGAAACAAATTTAGGGTACTTATAGAAACGACAAAGACACTCCAGGGAAAATCGGACAAATTGACGCGAAAACTTATTAAAAATCCTAATACCGCGCGGAGATTGTAAACTAGGGAACCGCTGATAGACGTCGCAACATCCCCTTTTTATTCCGTTTCCGAAAAACACTGTGACGGAGACTTTAAGATTCTATGACAAGTTTGACTTTAAGTACGATATTTGAACTCAACTTTTCGGGAAATATTATTGACATTCATATCTCGTAAAGCCTTACTGTTTTACGTTTGTTACCACAGCAAACAGTTGATATTTGAATTCAACTTTTCGAAAAATATTATTGACATTCATATCTCGTAAAGCCTTACTGTTTTACGTTTGTTACCACAGCAAACAGTTTTCAAAGTTATTTTCAGCGGAATTGACTGCGAAAATGCCGGTATGTAGCAAAAATTTGACCCATAATGTTGAGGGCTTTTGCGTCTTTCCCGCCAACGCAGGTTCACGTGCAATTACTGTTTTGCAGCCGACTCGTAGTCGTGTTTTTCTGAGAATCTAAAGTCGAGTCATGCGATAAACTTTGCACGGCCCAAAGATGATTGTACCAGAGAGGTTCGTTGCATTTTGATCCTACAGTAAATCTATAACGTTTTGAAATTAAAAAAGAAAAAATAAATTATCCGCTAACCGCTTAGATAACCAAAACAGGCATCAAAATTGATATTTTACTACAACAGGAATTGGTGGAATAGAGAAAGATTGAGCTGGGCCGCCTTTCTCAGATTTGGTTTAGTTATCCCCTCATCAAGACAAAAAAAAATTATTTGAATATATCAACAAAGTTGAAATGGTAAATTGGCCACCGTTATGATTATAAAAGCTGAANCCCTTCGTCATTCGCTCCGACGAAGGGCTAACGCTCGAAACGTCAGCTTTTATAATCGTAACGGTGGCCAATTTACCATTTCAACTTTGTTGATATATTCAAATTATTTTGTTACCCCCACCGACGCAGCTCCAGACAGTTTCTTTAAAAACTATCAGCCTTTATTCATTTGCAAAAAAAAAAAAAATTGACTAAAAGCAAAACAATAACAACAACAAAAATTAGCTGAAAATATTAACTATGCGACATTTTTTCTGACTAGAGTGACCTCACTTTGATTGCAGAAAACTGGAGAAAATACACACAGCAATTCCCCGACCTACCTTATGAGTAATAACACGTTGAATTATGTCAAGCATCTTTCTTGACTGACTAAACACCAGACACCTGTGGCCCTCAGCCTTGAGATTGTCCAACAGGGACACCAAGAACACCATTTTCCCTGACTCCTGTGTCAGCACCTTGTCTGAGGGTCCCAGGCTTTTCGGTTGAGTGGCAAATGATCTTGAATCGTCTTCCACGGCGTACATTTCTACAAGCCTGACATACAAAACTCGAGTTCAGTTCATAGACTGAAACAACTTTGACGTTTTTGTGGGGACGTGACCACAACGGTCGGTACATACTAATAATAATAATAATTACAGTTCTTAAAACGCACTATACACGAGTCTCAATGCTTTTACATGAGATTTAAAGTAATTACAAAAATAAGATAAAAATTAACTATAAATTAAAAGCGATTTTAAAAAGGTGAGTCTTGATCCTGGTTTTAAAAGAATCTAAAGTTTCGGAATATCATAAAATCAGGAAGTTTTGTTCCAAAGCATGGGGGATGCACACGCAAAGGATCAGTCGCCATAGGTAGAGGCTCTAGATCTTGGGCGAGAAAGATTTATAAACCTTGAGGAACGGAGAGAGCGGACAGGTGTATAGAGAGTTAACAGATTTGCCAAGTAATCAGCCNTTGCGATATTTAGACAGGCCAGCCCAGTTCAGCTTGAAGCTGGTTTAAATGGGGGCCTGTACATCCCACCCATCTCACCTCTACCCACCCATCCCACCCCAGGGGAGGACATCCATCACACAGTAATCTCGTGCATGGGAAATTAACGTCTCCTACCTCCAACCCTGCAGGAGACGGGACCTCCATTTATTCGTCCCTATCCGAGAAGACTAGAATATCTAACCCTTTCTTGATGTTATAGAAAGGTAGCAAATTCTTCTCAATTATTTTAAGACCTTGAGTGTTGGTCCGGCCGGGGCTCGAACCCTCGACCTACCGCACAACAGTCAAGCGCACTATCCATTGGGCTAACTGGGCGGTGAAATAAAGGCATGAACGACCCTTTCGGTATCTTTCTGAGATAAAAATTTCCTGATTTAACAAGTTCGTTTGTTTTTGTACAAGCATCCAAAGCTGTACTAAAAGTTAACTTCAGTGCACACCCGACTCCTGAGAACTGGGAGAAAAAAATGCAAGACACTGACGCATTAAAACATTTTCATACAAGCATGCATCTCTATAGATTAACAAAATTTCTCGCAAAGTCTTGAAATAAAAACCGTCATTTTGATAGGTTTATTTACTCAGGTAACTGTGTTTTGCCGACAGTTACACTCATCTCTCTCGCTCTAGCATTTTATCAACGGCTATAAAATACTTGCATATTATATTGCAGAACAAACCTGGCCTCTTCATCCAAGCCGAGCTGCTCACAAGCCAGTGTAGATAGCAGTCGAGGATGATCACAGATCTTCTTCAGAACATTCAACTCAGCCAATGGGGAGCGAGTGCTTATTAACATCTGAAAATATTATACGGATATACAATTTCCTTCCATATCTTTTCTTCAACAATAAAACCAAGCTATTTTGATGAATCAAACAGCTTATGTAACAGCATTATCAACTCGTTAATGAAAGTCTTAGGGAAAAACAAAAAAACAAACTTTAAGATGATTTCTGACAACTAAAAATGACAGTTCTCACAAATTGGAGCAAAACCTGAAAAAGTGTCCAATTTTGCACGAATAGAGACCGTGTCAATTCGCCTTCTTTTGTCTATTCGTTCTGCTTATGCATTTTTTTCTGTTTCTATATTGACTTAAGTTTTTCTCAAGGTTAAGGTCGTTATTACCATGTATTTTTTTGGAGAATTTACTTAGTGCTTAATCGATTCAGTTAGGAAAGGTTATTTTCACGAGTTATCATCTCTCTGAATAACTTGGTCCATAATTGTGTTGACCATCGAATCACTGACACTGCATACCTCTTTGACTCTTTCCAATCCTAAAAAGTCTCTGTAGATTTTGACTTGACTTTCGGACATATAAAGCCACACAACAAAGTCGTTTTTCCTAGTTAATTCCTTAGGCATTCTGAAAATTTAAGTTAAGACAGATTGAGCAATGATTACTCCATGGCCACAGTTTATTACAGAAGCCCTCTGTCAGGAGTTCCCTATGTTGTTAGTGGTAAATTTAAGTACCCTCGTCCCAGCCTCCAACTCCCAGGCTTAAATGAATGACTAAACAGATACCTAAATCAATCAATCGTGTGTTCCTTTTTATAGAGCTTTTGGATCAATGTTAGTTTCTAAGCAACTACCCACCTACCCCTCCCTTAACCCAGCATTAACCCTAACTTGTTATCAGTTGACTGTTGTTGGATTTGGGGAGGGGGGAGGGGTAGGAACGCAGATTTTCAGATAAGGACATTGTTCCGAAATTTGGAGGTATCTATAAGCTCTCTGTATTGACTGGGGAGATTGCAAACACATAAAAGTTGCGACTTAAGGGCAGTAACCAGTGATATATTTACAAAACGCCACAGGAGTTGAGCCCGGAATTACTGCAAAAACAAATCCAATCGAGGGGCCGTACAGGCAGACCACCTGAGAGAGGTGGTCCGCCTGTGGTGCCAGAGTGACGGAGTTGGAAGTGGATGTTCCAACATTTGTCACCTTCAACCAATCTCCTGAGCCGTCTTTTTGACCACTGATCCTTGAATGCTTTTTCATCACTTTCCCATTTACCTCTGAGTGTATTACCTTGTGGTACTTCCCTGTTTATTTTCCTTATCCGATTCCTCTGATCCATCTACAACATCAGTTTTTTCTTTTTTCTTCTCTAGAACCATCGCTTTCGTCCGCCGCAGAAAATGAGGTTGAATGAGTTGACGCAGACTTTCTGACATCTCCATCCCCATGCGTTTTTCATATGCTGATGCATCTCTTTCTCTCGCCTGAAATCAGCGCAATTTAACCCTTTAACTCCCATCAGTAACCAAGACAGAATTTCTCTTTACAATATCAGTATCAATACAATATCAATATCAATATCAATANCGCGCACTGTTTTCTCTGTGTTCTGTTTAATTGTCTGTTACGTTAGTTTTTCGCGCACTGTTTTCTCTGTGTTCTGTTTAATTGTCTGTTACGTTAGTTTTTCGCGCACTGTTTTCTCTGTGTTCTGTTTAATTGTTTGTTACGGTAGTGTCTTGCACTGATTTCTGTGTTCTGTTTGATCGTTGTTATGTTAGTGTATCGCGCACTGTTTTCTCTATGTTCTGTTTCATCGTTTGTTACGTTAGTGCTTAGCGCACCGTATTCTCTGCGTTCTGTTTGATTGTTTGTTACGTTAGTGTCTCGCGCAATCTTTTCCCTGTGTTCTGTTTGATTGTTTGTTACGTTAATGTCTCGCACATTGTTTTCTGTGTTCTGTTTGACTGTTTGTCACATTAGTGCCCCGCGCAGTTTTTTTCTGTCTTACGTCTTCGTTTGTTACGTTAGTGTCTTACACAGATTTCTCTGAGTTCTGTTTGATTGCTGTTATGTTAGTGTATCGCGCACTGTTTTCTCTGTGTTCTGTTTGACTGTTTGATACGTATGTTTCTCGCTCACTGTTTTGTCTGCGCTCTATTTGATTGTTTGTTACGTTAGTGTCTCGCGCACTGTTGGTTCCCAGTCCTCTTTGATTGTTTGTCATGTGTACATGTCTATTACATTTCTGTACATATATTATAGATTGTTCACATCACTTTCTCTCTGGAAAAACGATCGAGGAAATCGACTGTCGCGAAAAATCGACAACACCTAACCGGTATTGATCAATTTTAAACAGAAAAGATTTCCAAAACCTTTTCCGAATTTTTTTTTTTGAATTTCAAATATATGGACTAACCCTCAAGTTATTCTGTACTGGTGTCCCAGTTAATATAAAATGATGTTTCGCAGGGATCAATCGAAGATTTTTTGATGTCTTCGTTGCCGTGTTTTTGATTTTGTGTCCTTCGTCCAAAATGATATAATCCTGAAAAAAAGGAAAGGACAAATGATCAAACGCAATCAGTATCTGTTAAATAGGATGGCAACAAAAAATTCTCAAAATGAGGAATTAAGCATTTCAATGAAAATGACTTGAGGAAATAGATGTGTTTGTCACTTACCCATGTTAAGGCCCCCAATGACTCATGGCTGGATACAATTAAACCTACGGCCAAAAAAATCATTATGAAATCGGAAGTCAAATGTCTATTGGATCCTTGAGACAATCTCGCTCCAAAGATTAAATCATCCTTATATAATATATTATATAATCGGTATCCCTTTGGTACTTTCTGAAATTAAATGAAAAACCTCAAACGGTGAGTTCCTTGGGGTCCATGAGCGTTTACAAATTTTTCCCAGTTCCGTGCTTTTTTTTTTTCTACTCCACCCTTTTTTTCACATGTTTCCACATCAGCCACGAGTCAGAAACAGACAGCGGTATTGAGACATTTTATCACTGAAGTTTGTAGATCTCTTCACAAAAACAGCCAAAGGCTGCCTGGTATCAAACAACAAACCAAAATAACCTACCATAGGTAGTTAAGCAGACTCCATTTCTTCTCTGTATTTTTTCCAGGTTTCTCATGCGTTCCTTCTTGTTGGTCCCATGAAAGGCTCTAACACGGATTCCAGGGGCCCTTTTGAAAAATAAAATAACCTACTTCATCGAACTCAACTCATAAATGTAAATACAACAATTTTAAAAACCTAATCATAACTATTTTTTACCGAAGATTAATTTTAAAAACTGATGAAATTTGCCTCTATGTGTGGAAAAAACATCCAACTTCTCCCAACGTTATGAGAATAATAAGAATGAAGCTCTTGATTTTTAAACAAAATTCTCCTTTTAGTACCATAAGAAATGTATAGAGAACAGTATGGAGAATATACATACTGATGTACGGGTGTAAGATGATGAGGTGATATAAGAACTCTTCTTCCTACCATTTGCTGAACTCCTTTTCCCAGTTTGGCATCACTGACACTGGCAGTACAATCAACACTTTCTTGATGAGCTCTGCATCAAACATCCCAGCAAGGAATGATATCACCTGAATTGTCTTGCCCAGTCTACAAAAACAAATCCCCAGATTTAAAATCTGTTACTGTTGATTCTCAACCCTTTGTCCACCCGTAAGAGAGACGAGCATCTAATTTCTCCTTACAATCTCACCCCTGAATCACATATTAAGTTAGGAGAATAAAGGAAATGATCACCAACTAAAGAAGCTCATGATTCTTGAACAAATTCTCCTTGTCAGCACCTTAGAAAATGTATAGAAAATGTATGGAGAATATGCATACTGACGTTAGGATGTAAAGGGTTAATGCCCGTTAAAACTACATTAAGATTATGTTTTTCATTTTCTATTCACTGTACACATGTAATTTTGATAACAGCCTTGAATAAAATTCTATACATTAATCGTGTAACTTGCAGAAGGGATTAACATGTAACTTGTTCTCACAATTTCCTTAAAACATCCTCCAAACAGGTTATGAGAACAGATCAGGCATCCCTTAGCAGGTGTGGTCCTGATGTAAAACCAAGTTCTCTGAACTAATATACAAGGGGGCATGTGGAAGCTACAAGAGAGAATTACTATTCAGGTATTAAAAACTAAAGGTACAGGAGGTACATACCCCATGTCATCACCAAGAATGCCTCCCATGCCTTTCTGGTAAAGATTCCAGAACCACAGGACACCATTAAGTTGATACGGATACAGAGATTGGTAAATCTCAGCTGGTAAAGAAAAGCCATTGCCAACTTCACACATTCCATCATCTCCTTCATCATCATCTTCTTCTTCTTCTTCCTCTTTATATCGTTCTATAGCTTCCTGAATCACAAATATTTAAAGGTCTTTAACTTACTAACAGAACTTTTGAGGAAACAGACAGCAAATGAAAGAAAACTGCAATCATTTTTTATATGTTGTGAGATCCACCAATCAACTCTAAACTAGACAGTGCTGACAAAAGATCTGTGGTACACCCTTTGCCAAGGGAAAAACTCTTAACTTCAGCCTGCCATCAACATATTTAAAAAAACTGCAACTCAGCTCTTTTTTATTTACCCTTCATTATCTTTACCCTCAATATTAGGTAGTTAAAATATTAGTATAGATAATTTTCAAGTTTGAAGTGAACTTCAAGAATTTCAAAATAAGTTCACTACTGCCAACAGAAACAGCCATTTCTTCAACTGAATATGTCAAGGCAATGTTAACATTAAAAAATCCAATTAACCCTTTCACACCCAAGATCTGATTATTAATTCTCCACTCTAGCTTCTACACAATTCTACACAATATATAAACTAGTTATATATCGGTTAGCTCAATTGGTATAGAGCCGCACTGTTGTGCGGGAGGTCGTGAGTTCAAATCCGGCCAGACCAACACTCAGGGTCTTAAATTAACTGAGAAGAAAGTGCTGCCTTTGTAATAATATCTGCAAATGGTTAGACTTTCTAGTCTTCTTGGATTGGGACGAATAAATGGAGGTCCCGTCTCCTGCAGGGTTGGGGTAGGAGACGTTAATTTCCCACACACGAGATTACTGTGTGATGGATGTCCTCCCCTGGGGTGGGATGGGTGGGATATAGGGCGCACTTAATTTGGAGCCTCGCTCTGTTGTGCGACCCTCACCACACTCTGGTGAAAGTGATTAAACAGGTACAAATAAGTCGCTTAAGGAGCGAAGCACAACTGAATTTATGTCTACAGTGAGTCATCCGGAGTTCCCGTGATCTTGCCTTTCCCGACAGATCCTCGAAGGAGCTCGAGGAGAAAAGTGGCAGCTTAAAAACGTTTGAAATTTGCTCAAACAAACTATCGCTTGACCCAGAGATTTCCTCATACTTTCTATCACTTACTCCATTGTTTCAAAGAGAAACAGCTCGGTTAAAAAACATTTTCATCACGCTGACAACGACTTCTCTCCCCTGAGGAGGTATACTTAATTTTCAGACGTCGTAAGTTGTTTAGTTAATGCGTCGACAATTATGACGACGGGCTCTACATACATAAATACAACTGATAAGACTTAGGTGAGTTATTTCCTTGCGATTTATGGCTAATTTTGTAATGCATTGAGACTATTCCGTGATGACGATTTCACGATTTTTTGTAGACCTTTGGCAAGGAGAGAAGTTTATCGATATATTTTATAACATATTTTGGGGTAATTCCAATCAAAACTTTCACCTACCTTGTATTAAAATTATCTTAATC